GGAGCAGGAAAGCTGATGTTTCAGGTCTGGACCCTTCTTCAGAAAGGTCCAGACCCGAAACGTCAGCTTTCTTGCTCCTCTGATGCTGCTTGGCCTGCTGTGTTCATCCAGCTCTACACCTTGTTATCTCAGATTCTCCAGCATCAGCAGTTCCTACTATCATTGGTTGTGGTATTGCTTAAATCTGCCCAGAGCACATTGTTTCTGTCATTTAACATGCACGTAGTACCATGCTGTAGCGACACCAGGTTGACATCCTATTTTTAGTTAAAGCTATTGCTGTTCCTGTCAATGACCTTCTTTCCAACATAAGCTGAGAAATGGGGATGTTTGCTGATGATTGCACAGGGTTCAGTACAGATCGTGACTCTTCAGACACTGGAGCAGTGTGTGTCAGTATGTATCAAGACGTGAACATTCCAGTTTGGGCTGAGAAGTGACAAGTAACACCTGCAGCACATATTTAGCAACTGTTCTTGAACATTCCTGTTGTCTTTTAAAAACAATACATTTTTAACATACACATTACAAAATCATTTCCTTCCGTTTTTCTACTTTAGGACTAAGCAACAATATGAAGTACCTTGAATTCTGGTACAATGTGGGGCAATTAAAAAGTAATAACATTTCAAAACGAGATTGCAGATTTCTGAGGAACTGGCAATCATAAATATTAGTCAGTGGAGTGTTACCAGACAACTGGAAACAGATTAACAAGGTGACAATATTCAAATAGACTGACAAATCAAACACGTGCAGAGACAGATCAATTAGTCCTGCTTCTACTCCAAGTGAATCAGTGAAATTAATTATTAGGCACTGACTTGAGGACCTCCTGTTCATCTTGGCGTGGAACTTTAATGCTATTTCTTTATTGTTCTGGAAAAAAATGCTAGAACTCCCTCCCTAATAACACTGTGGTTCTACTTAAGATGGTTGGTCACATGGATTTTGGTGGGTTAAGAAAGAGGCTTACTACCACCTTCTCAAGAATTAATAGAGATGATGGTCTTCCCAGTGATGCTTATATCCCATGATTAATAATAAAACAAAACAACCTAATGAGCAGCATTAATCAGCACAGACGCTGCCAGATCTGCTGAGATTTTCCAGCAATGTCTGTTTTTGTTTCTGATTTCCAATATCCGCAGTTCTTTCATTATTTTTAAATTTAGTACTGTGATCACAACTGCTTCTAATTTACATGTATTCAGAAGTTCAGTAAGGTTCAAAAAGGTGAAGTCATCAAATTTGCAAAAAAGGTGTATTGGAATTGGAAGAAGATGCTCAGAAATTACAAAATGGGCTGGACAAAGTTTATAAATGGGTAGAACAATTGCAGGTGATATTTAAAACAACACATGGAAATATTGCACACAGGAAGGAAAAGTGATAGATGCACTGCATCGATGGCGGGATGTAAAATTGCTAAGTATGAATCTCAGAGAAACCTAGGTGTTCCAGTATATTCAGCACCCAACATATCCAGTCCATTCAGAGCAACAGTCAACAAAACCCAAAGATGTTGAATGAAATAGCCAAAACAGTAGAATTTATGTCAGAGAAGGTGAATTTTGAATTGTATCTGACATTGAGAATGCCATTTAAATCTGATACACGAGACAGCCTAACTGCCAGATGCTAGAAGTAGCAGAAACCATGATATGACTCCTATTATTAGAGATCTGGATGCTGAGAAATGTGTGCAGAAACTTAGGTGGAAAAATTGTAATCAGGTGAGGTGATGGCGATGCATGGTTAACGACTGCCCATTCACAGTATACGCAGTATATGGAAAGTTTCTGGTGACAGCAAATTTAAATGTCAGGGGGATGCTACAGTGATCCAATGAACTTTCTAAATTGTCTGCTTTTATATAAACAAGCATAATGCCACCTACTTCTGCTTTGATCGCATAACTTATCGTGGGAAAGAAGGCCTGTTATGGTTGTGGAGTGGTAGCAACTTTGTGGACAGTTCTAAGAAATGTAAAAAGTCTGAATAGATCAAACACAAAGAGACCTCGTTTGAATACAAAAACAACACTATTAATTATTAGAGATAGTAAGAACTGCCGATGCTGGAGTCAGAGATATCACAGTGTGGAGCTGGAGAAACACATCAGGCCAGGCAGCAACAGAGGAGTAGAAAAATAAGGGATCCCGACCCAAAACGTCAACTTTCCTGCTCCTCTAATGCTGCCTGGCCTGCTGCGTTCCTCCAGCTCCACACTGTGTTATCACTATTAATTATTAGGTGTCTCCATGTACTATAAGCAAACAGTTCCAAACTTCAGAAATAATATGTAAAAATGTCTCAGTTTTACTATTTGCTATCTTATGCTGTGATAGGTAATCTGACGCCTGGAGAATGAATGGAATACTTAATTGCTAACATGGTCAATCCTTTTTAAAGGCTTTGCTGCGGTTATTCATTGTGTCCATGGACTAAATAAATCCTACAGTGGAATAAAACAAAGAAGTCCATATGCTGGAGATTTGAAACAAAACAGATACTATTGGAGAAACTCAGCAGGTCCGGTAGCATCTGTGGGAGAAAGCAGAGTTAACGTTTCAAGTCTAGTGACTCTTTATCAGAACACTGATTCTTCAGTGTTTGTAAATCTCTAGCTACAAGCTGGAAAGAAGAGCTTCTCTTTATTTTGTAGACTTTGAAGTGAAACATCTGGATTGTGACAGACATATTCAAACTTCTTTACAAATATATTTAAAAGCGGAAGTGAAAATGACTATTTACCTGGAAAGATACACCATCTATATCTATTTCAGCCCAGTCATCTTCTTCATAAGGCCTCAATGCACTTATCACAAGGTTGGCACGGAAACGATGGATTAGCTCTTCAGTTGTTAATCCTTCAGGAGAATTAGAAACACTTGTTCCATCTCTAGCGCAGAAAGACAATCACATTCACAATCATTTGGAATTGTGATAATGTAATCTAGCAAAATACCTCAGATAATCATTTTCTAAAACCATAAATACTGAAATGCGCCCATAACTTTTAATAAATTGGTCACAATTAATTTGCTAAAATGTTTTCTACTACTATCCCAAAATTCAGCACAAAAAGAAAGCAATTATTATGAAGATTTCTGTAGTTGATTCAAATTCACAGCATATTGCAATACAAAAGTGTTTGTGCTGCATCCGACATTCCAGGTCTATTTCTATAAACTTGTACTCTACACTAAGGGAAAGCTATAAAGATAGCCCTTGTTTGTCATAAATAGGATACAGTGAATTTGTAGAAATGTTTCCTTATTTTGAAAAATGTCTTATTTTTAGAATTCAGTAGCCTCTTACTATAACAACCTTAGAAGCCATTGAAAAATAATATCACCAAGTGAGATGTGTTATTGAAAAGTTGAAAAACACCCTTTCTTTACTAATCAAGAAACAACAATTTATAAATGTCACAACCATAATATATCTGAGATTCCACTGTTTCGTTAGGATGTTGCTGGTTCAGAACTTAATGAAAATGGTGATGTTAATGTCAGAGAAAGAAGATTTGATTGTTGTTTTTTTAAAGGTGATCATTAGCTGGCAAGGTAAATGGTACCTGTCACATGTTTACCCAAGCTTGAATGTTCTTTAGTTCCTGCTCTGGACTAGCATGGACATCTTTATGTAGGCTGAGTTATGTAGCATATACTAGTGAGAAGTCTAACTCTTGATTTTATGATTTAAGGGATCAAAGCTAAATATAAAGTAGCTGAAAAACTCCATGGGGAAACATGTCATAGTGGCAATGTTGCTGGACTAGTAACGATGAGGCCCAGGCTAGTGATTGGGAACATGGGTTTAAATCTAGCTACAGCTGATGAAGTTGAAAGGTAGCCTCAGTACCTTGAGACTGGAAATCAGCAATCCTTGTCCAATCTGGCCAAGGTATGACTTCAAATCCACAGCACAGTGGTTTACACTTAACTGCCTTCTGCAAAAGGCCTGGAAAGATACTCACATCATGGGCAATTAGGGATGGGCAGCACAAACTGATCTGCACAGTGATTATCAAATCCCACAAAAAAATTTTAAAAACTCTTGTGGCAACGTCCTCGAACAGAGTCAGCCAAAACCGCAACTATTTAAATTGATTGTTCTACAGGCCTCCAACATTCAGAGGTAGGTAGAGGAGCAAACATGTAGGCAAATCATAGAAAGGTGTGACAGAAACAGGATTATAGTTGTAGAGACTTCAATTTTGCTAACATTAACTGGGATCATCTTAGTGTAAAAGGATTAAACTGGGTGGAATTCTTAATGTACAGCCAGGCCAGCTTTTTGTGCCAGTGCACAGTCCTACTAGAGATAGGGCAATGCTTGATCTAATCCTAGGGTACGAAACTGGTCAAGTGGTTGAAGTTTCAGTGGGCAAGCATTTTGGGGATAGTAATCATAACTCTGTAAGTTTCAAAGTAATTATAGAAAGGGATAAAGATAGTGCAGAAGTTAAGTGTCTGAATTGCAGGAAAACTGATTTCAATTTCATTAGACAGGATCTGGCAAATATACATGGGGAGCAGCTACTTGCAGATAAGTTTACATTTGGAAAGTTGGAGTCTTTTAAAAATAGTATGGTGAGAGTTCAGGGACAGCATGTTCCTCTAAGGGTGAAGCACGAGGGCAGCAAGTCCAGGAAAATCTGGATGTCAAGGGTTATTGAGAGTTTGAAAAAGAAGGAAGCATGTGTCAGGCAGAGCACATTCAAAAACAAGGGAGGCCCTTCAAAAGTATAGAGAGTGTAGGAGATTGCTTAAAAAGGAAATTAGGAGGACAAAGAAGGGCCATGAAATATCATTGGCAGATGGGATCAAGGAAAACCTTAAGGCTTTTTATAAATACATTAAGAATAAGAGGATTACCAGGGAATGAGTGTGATCCATTAGAGAGGGGCAGCCTGTGCATGGAGCCTGTGGACATAGGTGAGGTCTTAAATAAATACTTGTCATCTGTATTCGCAGAGGAGAAAGATCTTACAGTTGGAGATATCCATTGGGATGGTGAGGATCGAGAAAACATTAGGAGGAAGTATTTGATGTTTTAGTGGGCATGCAGGTGCATAAATCCCCCAGGGCCTGATGAGATGTATCCCAGGCTACAAGGGAAGGCAAGGGAGGAGATTGCTGGGGCCCCTGGCAGATATATTTAATATTACACTGGCCACAGGCAAAATGCCAGAGGTCTGAAGGGAAGCAGGGATAGGCTAGGTAATTTCAGACCAGTTAGTCTGACATCAGTGGTCAGGAAATGAAGCTTTGAGGTCAGCTTTGAAGCTTTTTCAGGTTAGAGAGGTGGCCATGGGCTCCATTTATGCTTGTCTCTTCGTGGGGTATGTGGAACATTCCTTGTTCCAGTCATATTCCAGCCCCTACCCACAACTCTTTCTCTGATATATCAATGATATCATCGGTGCTGCTTCCTTCTCTTGTCTGGAATTGGAAAAGTTAATCGATTTCGGTTCCAATTTCCACCCCGTTCTCACTTTCTCCTGGTCTATCTCTGACTCCTCCCTTCCCTTCCTCAACATCTGTTTCCATTTCTGTGGATAGACTGGCCACTAATATCCACTATAAACCTACTGACTCCCACAGCTACCCAGACTAAACATCCTTACACCCTGCTTCCTGTAAAGACTCCATCCCATTCTCTCGTTCCTCCATCTTTGTTGCATATATTCAGATGAGGCCAACTTTGACAAGGGAGTCTCCGAAATGTCCACCCTCTTCCTCAACTGAGGATTTCCCAGCACCGTTGTTGACAGGGCGCTCAACTGGGTCTGACCCATCACCCGCACTTCCGCCCTCACCCCGTCTCTTCCCTCCCGCAACAGCGGTAGGGTCCCCCTTGTCCTTACCTACCATCCCACCAGCATCCACATCCAGAAGATCATCCAACGCCATTTCCGCCACCTCCAGCAAGATGCCACCACCAGACACATTTTCCCCTCCCCTCCCTTCCACAGGGACCATTCCCTCCGGGATGCCCTGGTCCACACTTCCTTTACCCCCAACACCCCCCACAGCCTCACAGCACCGGCGAAACGAAGTGTAGACTGGGTGACCGCTTCGCAGAATATCTACTTTCTGTCTGCAAAAAAGACCCTGCGCTACCCGTTGCCTGCCACTTTAACACATCACTCTCTTCTCTGGCCAACATCTCTGTCTCTGGCTTGCAGCAGTGTTCCAGCGAAGCTCAACGCAAGCTGGAAGAACAACACATAATTTTCTGCTTGGGGACCTGCAGCCCTCCAGACCCAATATCGAGTTCAATAATTTTAGGGCCTAAACTCTCCTATGTCCTAGCCCCCTATCTATCACACCAGGCCTTGTAATCAAGTAGCCTGCCATTACACACTACCTATTGTTAGTCACTAACAGTTGCAATTAACAGCTATTCACCCTCCCAGTCAGATCGTTATCAACTCCTTTGTCTATTCAGCTGCTCTTCTCTCTCTTTGGGCTCTATCCTATCGTTTACTCCTTACCCCAGCACCCTCCCTATTTTCTGCATATAAACCAACGTTTTCCCAGCTACCATCAGAACTGAGGAAGAGTCACTGGACCCAAAATCTTAAATCTGATTTTTCCTTCACACATGCTGCCAGACCTGCCGAAGTCTTCCAGCAAATTCTGTTTTTGTTTCTGATTTACAGCATTTGCAGTTCTTTCGGTTTTTAATGAAGCTTTGCATTTGGGACAAGAACAAGCTCCTCTGCTCGCCAGTTCCTTTTGCTTTCTCCTTTTTTTCTCCTCTTTGCAGTATTTTTTCTTTCCCCCTCCTGCAACTTTTAACTACTCCTACCTGGATAATGGAGTCAAGGGAGAAGAGTTACGACTGGAGCCCGGGTGGGAGCTAAGCACGCAGACCAAGTCCCGCAACGGCAGAAGAGCGAGCACGGGCCGAGTCACAGACCGAGTCCCAGAGGGATGGCAGCAGAGCAAACATGGGCCGGGGCCGAGTCTGGGAGCGACGACAGCAGAGTGAGTGCAGGCCGAGTTGAGGGCCGACTCCTGGAGCATGCGGGCCTATCCCGAAGTGAACGCGGGCTGGATCCCAGAGCGGCAGCAGAGCCAGACTTGGACGGAGGCCAGAGTTTGGAGGTAGCGTTGCCTTATGTTCTGTAGCCAGCGGGCACGGACTCATGTTGGAAAAGGACTATAACTTCTAAAACGTAAGTACGTTATAGTCAATTTTATTGTCATTCTGGACTTTTTAAACTATATTCCCATGCTTACCTATATGTTTTACTCTGTAACAACACTTAAAGTATCTGCACCTAGAGGGAGATCCTGTCTGATTAATTTAATTGAGCGTTTTCTAAAAGTAAGTACACTGATGAGGTTAGTGCAATTTATGTGGTCCACATGGACTTCAGTAAGGCCTTCAACAAGGACATTGAAGGCTGCTCCAAAAGGTAAAAGCCCACAGGATCCAAGGCAAGTAGGCTAACTGGATCCAAAATTGGCTTACAAATAGGAGGCAATGGGTGATGGTGAAGGGTCCTTTTTGTAATTGGAAGCCTGTGATCAGCATTGTACCCCAGAGATTGGTCCCAAGAGTTTTGCTGTTTTCTACATATGTTAACAACTTGGACGTACATATAGAAGATTCAATTAGTAAGCTTGCAGATGACACAAGAATTGGGAGTGTCTGATATTGATCAGCTGGTAAATTGGGCAGAGCAATGGCAGATAGATTTTAATCCTGATAGGTGTGAGGTGATGCATTTTGGAAGGTTGAATAAGGAAAGGATATACATAATGAATGGTAGGTTCCTAGGTAGTACTAAGAAACAAAGGGACCTTGGTTTACACATCCACAGATCCCTGAAGACGTCAGCACAGGGAGACAGGGTGCTGAAGAAGGCATATGGGATGTAGA